TGTGTTATACTTGTATTTTGCTTTTATTTTCAGCATATATCATTTCTATCTCCAGTTTCAAGTTACTCGGGTCTTACAATTACTTTGCAGATGGCATATCGTGACAATGACTGTTGATGCTGATTTGGGTGAAGCAACTTGCTATTTGGATGGTGGCTTTGATGGCTTCCAAACTGGGCTACCATTGTCTGTGGGCAGTAGCATCTGGGAACAGGGGACAGAAGTTTGGGTCGGTGTTAGGCCACCAATAGATGTGGATGCATTTGGAAGATCAGATAGCGAAGGAGCTGAGTCTAAGATGCATATAATGGATGTTTTCTTATGGGGAAGGTGCTTAACTGAAGATGAGATTGCCTCTCTTCATGCTGCTATAGGCTCAACAGAGTTTGGTATGATTGACTACCCTGAAGATAACTGGCAATGGGCAGATTCACCCCCCAGAGTATGTTTCTGCTGTCAGTATTTCTTATTATGGTGAACTGTGTGAAATTTCAACTAACAGAAACAACATTTTATATTTGAGTTTGAAGTCCTTGACTAATCTTTGCTTCTTGTGTTCACTTAGGTTGATGAGTGGGATAGTGATCCTGCAGATGTAGATCTTTACGATAGGGATGATGTAGACTGGGACGGGCAATATTCAAGTGGGAGGAAAAGGAGATCAGATCGGGAAGGAGTAGTGATAGATGTTGATTCTTTTGCTAGGAGGTTTAGGAAACCTAGGATAGAAACACAAGAAGAAATTAATCAACGGATGCTTTCAGTTGAATTGGCTGTTAAGGAAGCCTTGTGTGCTAGAGGAGAAGCACATTTTACTGACCAGGAGTTTCCTCCAAATGATCAATCGTTATACATGGATCCTAGAAATCCCCCTTCGAAGTTGCAGGTTGTTTCTTATCTGTAATTACATGCAGCTTGGTGTATTTTATTGGTTTTTCTAACTTTGTCTTGGAGTTCAAACCTAGGTTGTCTCTGAGTGGATGCGGCCTGTGGAAATAGTCAAGGAAAGCCGTCTAGACTTCCAACCGTGTTTGTTTTCTGGGATAGCAAATCCCTCTGATGTTTGTCAGGTCTGGTCTCTCCTGGCTGCGTGACATGCAATTTTTCTTTACTGTACTGATCATGATATATTTTGAATCACCTTAATTTAATGGTTCAGAATTCTTAAAAATTGTCTTGCTCATGTTATAGGGTCATCTAGGTGATTGTTGGTTTCTAAGCGCTGTAGCTGTTCTAACAGAGGTATCACGAATATCAGAAGTGATAATTACACCAGAGTATAATGAGGAAGGAATTTACACAGTTCGCTTTTGTATTCAGGTAACAGTTCATAGTTTTCTTTTGGTATTAAGTACATCTTTCAATGTTTAATTCGTGCAAGGAAGCAGAAAGGTGGCCATTTGTCCTTTAATATATGATATATGGTTTTATGGTTAAGCTGTGCTTTTGAAGGGGAAATTGAAACATTGTGATGTATTCTGGACTTTTTATCATCACTGTTGTATGGAAATAATTAGAGAAGTCCTCTGATGTTTGCAAGTTAAAAATGCACCCCAAAGTTGTTGAAGGTACTCGATCTGCTGATGTGAATTTAATCTTTGATGGGTTAGACATGCCTTCCATATTCTGATGATTTGAGTGTGAGAAAACTTTTATCCAAAGCTATTCTTTTATAGACTTGGCTGTTGAAATGAGAAATTATTCTGGAGAGAATCCCATTGTTTAGTGATAAAGTAACTCTAGTGCACCATTTAGCAGACAATTTTCGTGCTAGCATCTTGGAAGTAGGGTTTCTTCTTCTTTAGATGATTTAGATGTCAACGCTACCAGACTTTTGGTGGAGCTATCTCCCTGTGATGGGACTATATCAAAGCAATTGCCATTCTATTAGATATAGCCTCCCTGGGCTTCCCTTAAGAATTGGCAATGCTTTCCCTGGGACTTGGCCCAGGTGCGCTAGGGGTGAGGTGGTTCTGGGGTTGGTCTTGGGAATCTTTATGGTCATGGACACTGGCTTTCTTAATTTACTCCATGAGTCGTGTACTATAATTACCTGATCTCTTAACCGGGTTGTACTTTTCATTTCTGAATAAAATGTATGACCCTGTTTTTGCTCTAATGGTGCTTCATTTCATGTTAAATTAGCTAACAAATATAATTAGTGAGACCTCTTCCTGTTTGGTTATCATGTTCATAACAGTATTCTCTGTTTTGTTATCTCCTTGCAGGGTGACTGGGTCCCAGTTGTTGTTGATGATTGGATTCCGTGTGAATCACCAGGTAAACCTGCATTTGCTACCAGCCGGAAGGGTAATGAACTCTGGGTTTCTATATTGGAGAAAGCGTATGCCAAATTGCATGGTTCTTATGAGGCATTGGAAGGTGGGCTTGTTCAGGATGCTCTTGTGGATCTCACTGGAGGTGCTGGCGAGGAGATTGACATGAGGAGCGCTCAGGCCCAGATTGATCTTGCAAGTGGTAGACTGTGGTCTCAATTGTTGCGCTTTAAACAAGAAGGCTTTCTATTGGGTGCAGGGAGTCCATCAGGTTCTGATGTCCAGGTTTCCTCAAGTGGTATTGTGCAGGGCCATGCATACTCTTTGCTGCAGGTAATACCAGCTTGTATCTTTCTACATTAATCGGGCACCAGCTGAAGAAATCTTGGTGGGAGTTTACACTCTTGTTAACTTATTCAGGTAAGAGAGGTGGATGGCCATAAGCTTGTTCAAATTCGAAATCCATGGGCTAATGAAGTAGAGTGGAATGGACCTTGGTCTGACTCATCTCCTGAATGGACTGATAGGATGAAGCACAAACTAAAGCATGTTCCACAGGTACTTGAGTACTACTTTTTAAGGCATGTTTTCCTTTTCTTCTCTTGGTGAGTAAAAAGTTATGCATCATGGTCCTTGAGTACTATTTGTTGAGGCATGAGTGACCAGATGATTTCATTTGTTCTGATCGCCATCTTGCAATGGGATATTATTTTCAAAAAGTTAACTGTCTTGTTGAACAGTCGAAAGATGGTATATTCTGGATGTCCTGGCAAGACTTTCAAATCCACTTCCGGTCAATATATGTATGCCGTGTCTACCCCACTGAGATGCGGTATTCTGTCCATGGCCAATGGCGAGGCTACAGTGCTGGTGGATGCCAAGATTATGCTTCCTGGAATCAAAATCCACAGTTCCGATTGAGGGCCACTGGTCCAGATGCATCATTACCAATTCATGTGTTCATCACTTTAACTCAGGTATGCTTTCAGTGAAGGACATACAAGAATTTTTTTTAATCCCTTGCACTTCACATCTTTACTGAGTTTATGAACTCATCTAATTTTCTGTGTTTAGGGTGTGAGTTTCTCTAGAACAGCAGCTGGTTTCAGAAATTACCAATCCAGTCATGATTCAATGATGTTCTACATTGGAATGAGGATTCTGAAAACTCGTGGTCGTCGTGCTTCCTACAACATTTACCTACATGAATCAGTTGGCGGGACAGATTATGTCAATTCTCGAGAAATATCATGTGAAATGGTTTTGGATCCTGATCCAAAAGGTTACACAATTGTACCCACAACTATACATCCTGGGGAAGAAGCACCATTTGTTCTCTCTGTTTTCACCAAAGCATCAGTTACCCTGGAAGCTTTGTAATAATCAGTGATGGCTTTCAATTGTTTTCTTTGTCCTTTGGGCTGAGAGCTTACCTGCTAGATTTTGAGGTGCTTGGGTTGTTCATAGATCATGTACCACCCAAGGCAGATTTTGTTGAACCACAAATCAGTGTACAGAATCACAAGGTAAATTGTTGCAAGTTTCTTCTATGTCTATCTTGCAATGCATCTTTCTACCCATCTGTTTCCCATTTGTTCTTCTCAAGGCATTTGGTAAAACTTTCTACACTCATCTTGTTTCGTTATTTTTTGTTTTGTATCTATGCTGAGCTATGGAGGACTGATCTAAACCTGTGAATTTGGCAGCCTGTGCACAATGTGGTTCTCAGCTGCCAGGATGGCCTGTGAAAAGCAAGCAAGCCATTCGACCAGTGCATTTTTGGACTTTATTCCTTATTCAAGCTCCAGCACCAAATGAATTTGAGTGCACTTAGCTAGACATGAGAGCTTATTGAATGCTATCAGTGCTTCGGAGAGGGTTGTCGAGGTTGTTAATTGTACATGTGTAGGTATGTAATCTGTAGGAAATATAGGCCTAATCATGTAAATGAAGTGGAGAAAGAAAAAGGCTGAAAAGAAATAGGAAAATAACCACTAACACTAGTTCTAGGTGAATACTGAAAAGCATGGTAGCTGGAGAATGTTTCAGCTGCGGTTTTGTTGTGCTTTATATTCTGCATAATTTGTCACTTGTAAAAAAAGATTACCCTATTTTGCAATATAATCATCATTTGTCATTTGAGTTGATAATTTTCAGTGTGTTTAATTTGTTTCCTTTGCATGAACTACAACGGCAGTTCAAACTATAATCAGCAAGTCTTTTCTTCTCATCTTTACAGGAACATTCCTTGTCATATCTGAGATATAATGAGGTATGAAAAAAGATAAAATAATTGTATATAAATATAATAATAATCCTTTTTTTTTATTAACATGCCATTACCAACTGTCTCCCAAATTTTAAAAAATGTGTCCATTTTGTTGTATTTGTATCCTGTATCAATGTGCATATTTTCTCTGCAGAAACCCTAGACCTGGCCACATGTGGCCATGGAGAATATGGTTTTGTTTTGACCTTGTACTTGCCCGTCTGTGGATAACTGCATGGAAAATCCACAAATAGAGAAACAATTCTGTGGTAACAGTCATCAGTTTCCTGACCAACTTGCATGTCCTTGTATTCTTTTGAGTGGTGTTCTTCGATCTTGTATAATCTACAAACCTGAGGCCAGTATAAATGCAAAAGCAAATTACAACTGCAGAGAACCGGTGAAATGAAAAAAAGAGAGCAAAAGAATCATAGAAGGCGGCCAAAAGCATCAAGGAAGGAAGAAGAAAATATAACAAATGCTGAGATAAACATAATATTCTATATTCCAAATATCAGACTGGCAAAAGCCCCTTGCTACAAAAACAACGTCGTGGAAAAAGACTCCGATACTGTTCCCCCCTCCTTATCCTTGCTTTCTTCCTTTCAATAAAAGAAAGGAAAAGAGAGAGGGAAGTGGGAACTCTATATTTCTAGTTGTCTTTCCTAACTACCACTGGTCAAAATCACTCATTCTGAGTCACTTTCCATGCTTCCCATTGCCTTCAATCCTCTAGGTCTCTGCATCAAATAAAAACCAATCATGAATTTCAAGGAAAAGATGCTAAATCTTGATTATAGCTCATTTATTTTGAATTCAAAATTTAAACCAACTTCCTTAGCTTTTTCTGCATTTTCTGAGCAACCAGACAATCTGAAATAAATACCAGGAACTAAAAAACAAGGCATGGAAGGAAACGAAAGAACAAGTCAGTACCTTTTTGGAAGTCTTCTTCTCCCTCACTTCATACCTCTCATGACACAAATCTGATAACCATGCACCTGGACTTACCAACTGCAAATACACGAGAATCAACAAAAGCTCCAATCAAAAGAAAAAGTTAAAGACTTCCTCTCAATTTTAACAGCCCCCAAATTCATTTAATAGTGTATATATTGAGTTGACTTACAAGTAAGGTTCGTTGAATCAACTTGGCTCTTTTCTTAGGCCTTTGAGGAGGCTTGCACCCTTTCATAGCCATGAAATCCTCTTCCTTCTCTTTGTTTGACAGTGCTATGAACAGTCTAGGCCAGACAACTTTTTCTTCCTTGACATTATCCATTAAAATCTTGCTATTATCATCCAATCCCATTGATCCCCTTGTTGTGTAGTACCTATCTTCCTTATCTGGTGATAACACCGATGACTTCCTATTGTTCGATAACAAATCAGAATTCCTACATCCAACCACAACCCAAAAGTAAAATAAGAACTTTTAGACACATCTAGTCTAGAGATATTAATAACAAATGGGACAAGAAAGTAAAGAAAATTTGCAACAGCAAAAAATTCTTTCACAATTTTGATTTTTCCTAATTTCCTATATTTTCTAATCAACCAGGTCAGTCATATAGATCAGATAAAACTTCCTTCCTAATTCACATAAAACAAAAGATCCTAAAACAACAAGGACTTATCATGCAAATGAAATATGCAAACAAGCAGATTTGTTCACTTAAGCATGTTAAAGAATGAACACTTTCTTCAGTGCCTTGAATAGATACTCACTAGATACAATAAATGTATTGAACTCAATTCATTCATGCATTCTCACAAATACGAAGCCTTTGGTAATTCAACTGTGGGAGATTTTTGGGGTTCTTACTTAATGAGGCGAGAAGGAAAGTCTTTCTCGGTAGCGACGGCACGAGAAGTGAGTTTCTTCTTGGGCAAAGAATCATTTAGTTTAGATTTGTTTCCCGAGTTTTGTACTTTTTTCACTTTAACACATCTAAGCCTCTTTGTACTTCCCCATTGCAACACAAAATCTGTATCTCCAGCTGCTTCACTCTTCTTTTCCTTCTCCATTACTCTCGTCCTCTATCTAAACAGCAAAAGATTAACCCCACAAACTGTCAGAAGGGTATCACTCACTACAACTACAGAGAAAAAAAAAATAAAATCTTACAATCAAATAGACACTCTTAAAATCATTAACAATTTTTATAGGAAATTTGGTTACACACAAGCATAACATTGTATAAAGAGCCAACCAAAAACCCATGCAGAGTTCTAAAACAGCAATTAAAGTGGAACCGAACCGAACAGAAAATAAAGAAAACTCGGAGAAAATAAGTTCAACTTGTAGAGGAATTAAATAAGATGACTCACCTCGAGATCTCTAGTAAATGCAATGAAAAGTGCTCAAAATTTTATCCTACTAACCTGCATTTCATCAGACAAAAATAATAACGCATCAATAAAATCAGAAAGCTAACACAACAAGAAAAAAACCATTTTTCTCTGTTTGTTTCCCACGAAACAATAGAAAAAAACTTTTGGAATCCTCCATCAAGAAATATCTTTTCACTTTCTAAGCAACCAAACAGACAGAGAAAGAGTGAAAGATAGCAAGGCACTTCATTTCATTACACGGTTCCAGCAGCAGCAGGAGCAAAAACTTGAAGAGTCCTTTCGTTTGTTTGTGTGGTCACAGAGAGATGGGGAAAAAAAAACCAAAATCTGCGAGAAGATTGAGGAAGTGAAAGCTTAAAGGGTTTAGAATTTCGGGTCTGATTCAGATTTTCAATTTGATGGCCAACAAGTTCAAAGATCGGAGCTTTCTCCGGTATCTTCACGAAAAATTGATACTCTAGTTTACTTCTCTTTCACTCCGTGTTTCTGTTTCTCTGGCTCTTTATGTTTTTTAACTTTTTTTTACTACTTCGCGTGGTTTCTTTTGGTTTGATCATGACCGTTGGATGTGAAATGGACGATCAGATGACTTTCCCTCCAATTGGGTGGCTTTGTTACTTGAAGATTGGTTTGGGTCTTTTGTGGCACGTGACATGGGCTGAAAGCACGTGACCTGTATTGTACATTATCTCTTCTCATAGTAAAACCCAACATGGATTTGGGCATTGACTTGTGATTCCCTATTGGAATCTCTTCTAGCTTCTTGAGTTTGAAAAACAAGATGGATTAGGTATCATCTCTGATGTTTTTGAGAAAATTCAATATAGTAAAAGAAATTAAAATAGGCAAGAATTTATAAAACGTGGCAAGAATTAAGGATTTTCATGATGTGTCAAAATTGAATTTGAAGTCAGAATCAGTCAAGATTAGGATATTTTTTCTTTCAAGGGTTTTGAGTTTTAAGAGAGTTGTTCATCTTAAATCATGTATTATGATTGTTTTTATTAGTGTTCTAATTTTCTTCTCATTAGAACTATTATATTAATGGAAGGCGTGATGAACTTTCAACGAGCAATAAGAAAATATCACACTTTCAGAAACTTCTCTAAATTATCCGAGTTTTTATCATCGAGAGGGCCAAGCATGGCGAAATGAAGCATTAGAGGCTACGTCTTCACCTTCCAAACTAGGACTCTTAGTTTGGATGTGCAAGCTGGTTTTCAAGCACAAGAAACACACGGATTGTCTAGAGGAGATGATCATGAAGGCTATGAAAAGGGGCAACAAAAGCACGAATTTTCGTTCCAATTCGAGCTTCGAGAAATCTGATCGTGCAACGTTGTACTGTTCATGGAGTCCCTTACGACTCTCCAGGGAATACAGATTCATCTGTGGAGGCTTTGGCAGCAGCTATGCACTCCAAAGCTGTAATTGAAGCCAACAGAGCAGCAGCAACACTTCTCGTTCATCAGCTAACCAGCGGTTCACAAGGTGCAAAGATAGTAGCTGCTTGTGGGATACGTTTGTTAGCAAAAACAAGAAGAGAAAACCGTGCTTTCAACGCAGACGCTTGTGCAATTCCCCGCCTTCGTAAACTGCTGTCTTGTACAAACTCCTTCGCACAAAAGATTCTGTACAGCAATACTCAATTTATCCGTTCATGAAAAGAATAAAAGCCGAATTGTTGATGAAAAAAAATGGTGTCTGGGATCGGTTCTTGAAGTATTGAGAGACTTAGACTCACAACAGAGGCAAGGGAAAATGCAGCAGCGACATCAAAGCCTATCAGCAGCTCATCTCTATCAGAAGAGTAGCAGGTGGCCAAGCTGGCTACAAGGAGAAAATTTGGGATCATGCTCCCGGTGCTATTATCATTCAAGAAACTGCAGGGTAGGATGAGAATCAAGAGTTTTCATGATGTGGCATGATTCCATTTGAAATCAGAAGCTGACAGGATTAGGATATCTGACATAAAAGACTTTTGAGTTCCGATTTTAATTATCTATCTTAGATAATGATCGGTTTAATTAGCGTTGCAATTTTCTTTTTATTAGAACTCTAATTAATTAGATTATATTATAATGTAGGGCTATAAATAACGAAGATGTGATGAACTTTCATTAAGCAATAAGAAAATATCGAAGAAACCAGCTTTCTTGAGTTTCCATCGAAATCATAACACTCTGGTGGCAGGCAAAACGTACGGGTAATATTAACAGTTGCTTTGGCTCTACTGTTATTTTGATATAGTCATGAAAGTGTTTGGTTAATCATTAATATGCATTACAGTATTGTAAGGGTTGTTTTACTAAAAACTCTCTTGAAATAATGTAGTTTATAGTTGATGATGCAAGCCCTGGCAGCCCCTTTGGGAAGAGATATTGTGATTTTTGTGCTATATAAGCTACTTCGGGATAATGACATCAATATAGCTTTTTAGACAAGAGGCTGAGAGGCTTGGATAAGGCAACATATTGGCGTTTCCATCTCTCTTGAGAAGAGATGCCTTTTGTTATATAAACAACTAAAACCTTCATCTCTTGATTGGTGTAGAATAGTGGTATCATCAATTGTGTTTTTCACATCTATTCTTTCAAACTATAACCATGAAAATTCACGCAATACTAGGGATAGAATACATGTATATTTTCGTATTTATTCAATAACCAGTCATTTAACTCGTATTTCGTAGTAGATCATAATTTTTTATTTTAAGAAACTCCAATTATGAAGGCTACTTGAATGTATTTTTTTAATATAAAACAATTTAAAATATAAATTGAAAAGCTGAGAGGCTTGGATAAGGCAACATATTGGAGTTTCCATCTCTCTTGAGAAGAGATGCGACTCTTTTGTTATATAAACAACTAAAACCTTCATCTCTTGATTGGTGTAGAATAGTGGTATCATCAATTGTGTTTTTCACATCTATTCTTTCAAACTATAACCATGAAAATTCACGCAATACTAGGGATAGAATACATGTATATTTTCGTATTTATTCAATAACCAGTCATTTAACTCGTATTTCGTAGTAGATCATAATTTTTTATTTTAAGAAACTCCAATTATGAAGGCTACTTGAATGTATTTTTTTAATATAAAACAATTTAAAATATAAATTGAAAAGCCTATGCAAGTATCTCATTAAATAAATTAATAATCATTTATGTAAATAAAAGGAAAAAAATATTAACAATAACCAATTTTTTTTATATAAAATTAAGAGATAAATATAAATTAAAATATTCAACCACACAAAATGAGACATACACTTAATTGTATTTACTGAACTTATTTATTAAAATAAATAAAAGATAAATCCATAACTTAAAAAATTCATGACTTAAAAGATAAACAAAAATTAAACTGACTAAATAAACTCATGTAAAAAAAAAAGAAATATTATGCAAGGCCAAACATATTAACAATATTATTTAAAAATAAATATTTTATTATTTCTAAAAATAAACTTCATTTGTATAAAACCCAAAAAAAATCTAATGAATTACCATAGCATCTTGAAAAATCAAACACAAACAAAATAACTCTAAAAATGTTTATATTAAAAAATGACATGCAAAATTCATGACTTAGATTATGAGATAGAGATAAATTCATAAAAAAAATTTAACAATAATTACAAAACCATTATTTAAAAAAACAAATTCAGAGCGATAAAATCATATGAAATCAAATATTTAACAAATTACTAAAGATGAAATAAAAAAAATTAATTATACAAAAGGATCTAAAAAATAAAGGTGAGAAAAAAACATTAAATGGAGGGCAAATAAAAATTTTATTTGACATGCGCTCCATAGCGGGTCGTAATTTTTCTTTCTTAAAAAAACTTGAGTATAGACTATTTTGATTTTTTTTTTACATAATATAAATTACAAGTGTAAATCAAAAAATGTATCCAAACATTTAATAATCATCTATGTAAATAAATAAAATTTTTTTACTAATAATAACTAAAAGAAAATGAGAGATAAATGTAAATCAAGATATTTGATCTCGCAAAATAAAATATTTACTCATTTATGTTCACTAAATTTTTTATTAAAATAAAAAAAAGATAATAAAAATAAAAACACATATGAAACAGTGTGAATAAAATAAAAAGAAAAAAAATGTATGTTCCAACGTATAAGAAATATTTTGCAAAATAACTATTTTTTGTACAAAACAAAACCTACTTGAATAAAGTAAAATAAAATAAAAAAAAAAGAAAAAAAGAAAAAAATAAACACAAAACAAAAGAATTTTTTTTTAAATTCTTTTTTCAAAAATAGTTTGCAAAACTGGTGGTTTAGATAATAAGAGGAAGACAACATGATAGAAAAGAATATAAAGTTAACCATAATTTTTTTAAAATAATTTAAAATCATAAAATCACAAAATATAATGAGAAAAAAACAAGAATTCATAACCGTATTAACACTTAAAACTTATGCCCCATGCCATTAAACTGGAAGCATTATAAATAAAAAAATCATGAAGCCCAATCCTAAATAAATCAAATGCTAAATGATGTGTCTAGAAAAAAAATCAACCACATAAAAAAATTTAATTAAAAATAAAGGTGGAAACCAAAATAAAAAATAAATTTGAGGGATTTAAAAATTAAATTGCAGGGTTAAATTGAAAAGAAAAAAACAGTTAACATATGGGAAAAAAATCAAAAGAATGAAGACAAAATTGAAAACAAAAAACAATATAAACTTTGATTGAAAGATGAAATTGAATATTAATAAAACTTTAACAAAAGATCCAAAGGTAAAAATGACAAATCAAAATAATAACGACTAAATTAGTAAAAATAATATATAATAAATTGTAATTTAAGAACTGAATTGAAAACATGAAAAACTTTTTTAACAAGGTCATGGACAAAAATAAGCAATAAAAAACATAAGGATTGAAATTGAAAAACAAAAAGAAAAAAAGGATAAACTTGAGAAATAACATGTGATGACACTTTTAGTGATATGATGGAAGGCTTTTTTTCAAACAAATGATGGCGTCACGCGCGCCGTAAAAAGAGTACAAATGTCACTAACGTGCTGGTGTGTGAAAAACATGCACTAATAATTTTTTAGAATTTAATATTAAAAATAAATATTAAATTACTAAAAAACCCCTCATAACTCTAGAAATAACAAATATACCAATGTGAAAGTAGCAAAACACCCTTATATGTATAAAAGCAATTTTGTCTTATCTAAAGGCAAATAAATATTTTACTTATTTTAAAGTTCGTGCAAAGTAAAAAAACCCTTTAATCAGTCAATTTAAATTCCGTTGATCCTAAAGATAGAAGAATATTTTTACTATACAAAATCATTTGAAAAAAAACAATAATATCGAGACAATGTTTGTTTCCTGAAAAGTAGTTTCCAGAAAATCACTTTCTAAACTTTTTCGTGTTTGTTTGCCATTAGAAAAGTTGATCAATAAAAAACACTTTCTGATCAACAAAAAACACTTTCCAGTCAATGA